GCTAAATGGTAAATATTTCATAAATAAATAGGTTCAGGATTACAATCAAGATTGTAGCCCTATACAATGTATTCCATGACAAAAAAGTTTAAAAAACATGAAAACATATGCCTACAAGGTTTTCAGTCCGTTGACTCGACACTAACCCGAAAGTTGATAGAGATCAGACGAAGTGATGACGAAGCGCTTGTTCAAACCAAATCCAATACTAAAGTTGAAGATGCAGAAGCAAACCACATAAGCCTGAAATAAACCAACCCGCAGCAATAAAAGCCTTTCAATGGAGGCCCGAAAAAGCATCGTCAACGGTGATGACCTCGTCAATAGAAGACACAAGCAACCACTTGGCATGAACCCACCTTCAAAACTAGTCTTACAACAATGCCAAACCAAAGAGACATTAACAGAGCCACCACCGGCGACCAGAACATCACCCGTTCACATCATTGCAAGCACTCGCTAACTTCACCGGAGATCACCAAGTCTAATAGCCCAAAAATCAGCAGCCATTTGCGAGAGCAAATCACTAAGGCAATGGGCATCCGAAACCAGATGCAAGACCAGCGATATCAACAAGCAAAACATTGCCCAGTAACCAGTCAAATTGGAAATGGCGAAGAGACCGAGGCTCCAGCAAGGAGAGGTCACCAACAACCCGAGCTCCACTACCGGAAAACTCTTACGTCATTAACCAAAGGGACAGACACTCACCTTTCAAGAGGAGTGAGACAACAACTCGCAACATCAAATTCTCGAGGCCCCGAGCCAGAGACTTCGACGGAGGGGAGACGCGACCCACCGGAGGGAAGCTGAGGCGCGACGGAATTCCATTCCGGAGAGTGGAAGAAGCCGAAACCATAGAAAACGGAGAAGCGAGTACAACCATCGGGCGTCGCTCTTAAGCCGGACATTGCTTCTACCATCGTCGGAATCGGCAAGGTTGGAGGGAAACGGCAACAGAAGATCTTCACCAGTCAACTGTGCGAGACGGGTGTCGGGAGGTAGCTCATCCCAGCCGGAGTCGCTCACCGTTGACTGACGAGAAGGCCGCGACTGAGAAATCCCAAGACCCTGACGCGGTCGTCGCACACGGAGGCCGTCCGGCCAACACGTCGCAGAGTCGGGCAAAGATAAGGAGATCTGGAAGGTTCAAACGCCTGGTAACACGTAGGAGTCAGATTCAAAGATAACTCTATTGTAACCCAATGATCTTACTATTAGCAGTGTCCATCTAAGTGCTTTTGCTTCCGTGTGTAAGGCTGATCTCAATTTTGCCATTGCCTTTGTTCCTATCAATAAGACTTTACCCATGTGATCTCTCAAAACCCATATGACCCCACTGTTTTGGTTGTCCTTTTTACATGCTCCATCAATATTGCATTTGATGTAACATTGTTATACAAGAAGTATCAGTATTATGGTGAAATTTTTTTATCAAAAAGGTGAAAAAAATTATATCTTCAAAAACAAAAAAACGGGACATTCAGTAAAAAAACATGAGATTTCTTTTTTATTATGTTTCGGTCAACTGATTATTACAAAATGAATGTGCATGCATAACAACAGTGGATCCACCAGACATAATTTGTATACAAAAAGATAATACTACAATAACGCAATATAATAAAAAAAAAACTTTCTCGTTTTCTCTTTTGAATATCCTGTTTTTATGAAAGTATAAATCTTTCATTTATTCTGATAAATTTCTTTACCGTAAATATTAAATTTTTTTTTTCTTATAACAAATTCGTCTTAATGGTAAAAGGATTGTTTTGTAGCTTGGGTAGTTTATAGGTTATTTTGTAAAACTATGGTTAATTTGAGGGCTTTTGTCTTTCTAGGTTAATGTTTCAGACAAAACCTAAACGCGTCGGCTCGGCTCGAACTCGGGTGATTAGTTAGAGTGTGGGACAAGGGAGAAGAGAAACACTCGCCGTCACGGAGATCCGAAAACCTCAGCCTCAGACGAAGCTTCGCATCTCTCTCCTCCAATCGTTGACTTCACCCACAGGTAAATTCCAAAACCCTCCTCTCTGCTTAATCTCCATCTCCATCTCCCGATCTTATTTCTTCGATCATCGAATCTTCCTCTCTCACAGATCATCATCTCAATCTCCGTTTGGATTCTCTTTGCATGTCCAGATCGATGCCTAGATGTTGCTTCCTCCGACATCTATTCTTGTTGCTACTGTTACTGTCGCCATGGACGTCTTCTTGCGGCGGCGCCGCCGCTGATCGACCCACCGGCAGATCGCTCTTGGCCATTCAGTGAGTTTCTCTTTTGATTGACTTATAGTTTGTGATTCTTGTTACAGTTTTTTTTTTAAAGTATCATAGGCATCGAAATTTTGATTAGGTTTTGGTAACTTTTGGTGGCTAGACTCGCTTATTCATAGAAGAATTGTTGTTTCTGTGCTCAAATTTCATTTAATTTACTGGAGAATTGTTATGTAACCTTTGATGTTTTAATTTCTCTATTGTGGTTTCGGGTTGTGATGTCATCTGTCTTCTAACCAGTGACTGTAAAGAGCCAAACACGGAGCTTCATGTTGATCATTCTGGGAAAGTGTTCTTAATACAGCAGCAACCAAGGAAATTACCAGTGTGGTCATTTTCATCAGGATCACCGATTCATTCCTCATATCAGGCTCCTCTTGCTGGTAACAACACAGAAAATGCTACCGAGATAAGTAAACCTTTCGTTGTAGAATATATGGACAAGTCAAAGGCTGCTACGGTTGATGATATATGGGTATGGAAAACTAAAAGACTTAGATCGTTTCATGCATCTCTCGTTAGATGTTGATAGCTCCTCGTCGTATTATTCTGTTAATACATCTTTATCGGACACATTTTCTCATTAAATACAGACTATGGAGGACTTGTTGAAGATGACGCCACTTGTAACTGATGATGGTGTGACTCTTGGGTCAAAAACAGCTACTGCCTATTTGATTGATGGTAGATCCGGGAAGCTAAGGCATATCTATGAATCCACCCATTCGTCCGGAGATAATAACAATACTAACGCTGTGGTGAAGCCCACCAGCACTGATGATATCATTAAGCTGCCTCTTCTTATCACGCGGACAGATTCCAAACTAGAGCATTTTGATAAAACCACTCGAAAGCTTGTGTGGAATGTGACGGTTTCTCACTTCAAAGCTGATTTACTCTGTGATCCAGCTTTCAATTCAGGCAAAAAGCTCGGTCCTGAAATTTACACTGGAGTTTATTTGCCATTGCAATGCGGATCACAAATTGACATTCGTGCCCCAGAATTTTATATTAGGGGGCTACCCTCTGCAGGAACTAGAGAATCCAGGAAGTTGCAGGACCAAGATGGGAAACATATTACAGATGTGTCTGCAAAATATTTCGGATGGTTGCCAGTAAAGTTATTGGTCCCTATATTTTTTCTTGGTGTTGTTGTCTCTGTCTTCATTAAAAAGTTTTCATCAAGGGGTGGTGATTTGAATCCGAAGTCTGGACCTTCCAAAAAGAAAAAGAACCGTAAATCGGGGAAGGATGGTATTACAAATGGGCAGAGAGACAGGCAGTCAGAGTACGAGCTCATTGAAGGAGGTCAAATGTTAGTAGGCTTCAATAACTTTCAAAATGATGCAGCTAATGGGCGAAAGATTGGTAAGTTGTTTGTCTCAAATAAAGAAATTGCAAAGGGAAGTAACGGGACTGTGGTGTTTGAGGGTACTTATGAAGGCCGACCAGTAGCTGTTAAACGTCTTGTTCGATCCCATCATGAGGTTGCTTTCAAGGAGATTCAAAATCTCATTGCATCTGACCAACACTCGAACATCATTAGGTGGTATGGTGTGGAGTATGACCGGGATTTTGTTTACCTTTGTCTGGAGCGTTGCACATGCAGCTTAGATGATCTGATCAAAACCTATTTAGAGTTCTCTTTGACAAAAGTATTGGGAAACATCCAATCTAATGAAGCCGTAACTGCCTATAATATCCATCTGGATTCTTTGGAGGGAGTAATCAAAGGAAACAGTTTGTGGAAAGTGGGGGGCCACCCGTCACCTCTCATGCTAAAACTAATGAGGTTAATTTGAACTTTGACTCTGTGCATTTGTCGTAATATTCTTGGATTAAGAAATGTGGCATGTTTCATTTGCGCATCAAAGGTATAACCTTAATTAGATGGTTGTGATAAGTGTAGCCTACTTCCTATGTGGTATTATAAAATGTAGTTTAATTTAAACCTCGTTTGTTGATTTAGTGCTTAAATTCACTTAACTGTTTGTGTTGTGATGCAGAGATATAGTGTCTGGGCTTGCACACTTGCATGAATTGGGAATAGTTCATCGGGATTTGAAGCCACAAAATGTGTTAATAATTAAAGGGATGCCATTGAGTGCAAAGCTTTCTGATATG